AATATTTCATCATACCGATTTCAAAAAAAGAATAAAAGCAGGGTTATATTATATCCAAATGTTACAACATTATGCGTTTATGATGTCGGAAAATAAGGTGTATGATACTGACAAGGAAAAATTGGAGTGTCTTCTGCGTTCAATTGTTGAAAATTCCATGACGTATTATTTTGTATGGGATGAGATAAATAGAATTTCTGCAGAAAGATCATGGTAAAAAATTTAATAAATTAAATTGATATTATAAATTAATATAATTAATTATAATTATATAATTAATATGCAAAGTTTTTCAGCAAACTGTTTTCCAATTTGACACGTGAATATAACTTTAAACTGATTTTTTATTATTTGAAACAATATCGATATATATATAAGCAAATAAAATTTAAGAATATGCCGAAGACAAAATCGCTTTTGGAGAAACAACTTACGATCATGGCACAATATTTTCAGCCACATGTGTCTTCGGCTGTAAAAACGTGGTTAGATAGTATAACGGAGACAGTATTATCTCGTCTGAAAAATAAATATCCCGCTCATTCAATTTGCTCTACGACTTTAGAGCAATTTTCTTTTTGGAGAGATAACAATATTTATGACAATTTCTGGAATGAAACAGAATCAAGGCAAATTATGTGTATTCTCGAAGAATATATATTTTCGGGGTTAGAGATCCATAAATTATATCAATTAATGATGTCAGATCTCCTAGCCAAAGATTTAGAATCTGTAAGTTATTTTAAATTGTAATAATAATTTATTTTGCACTGCACAAATATAACTATATTTTTTATATCTTATAAATGTTCAATATATAACTTTTCTAATATAATTTAATATAGATTATAGATCTATTGACTGTCACGTATCACATCGTAGCTAGAAGACTCGGCATACATAGCGTTCTGACAACGAGATTAAATGTATGGAAATCTGCAATCATATGGAAACCAAACTAGTAAATATAATTTTAGTTTATTGCTAATACTTTTTCAACACATATATAATATATATTTATATATATGTATACATTTCATAAGAACATTTCTACGATTTTTTTGGTTACTTGTTTGTTTTAAATTGATGAAACAAAGGATCGTAGCATAAATATATTTCCTCCTCGAATATTTAACAAAACGTTAGCGCATACATACGTATACATACGCATGCGTTATACATACATATACAGAAAAATAATCAAAATCTCTTTCTTTCGATAAGAGATTAAAGTCATCTTAAAATTATTATATAAAACAATACAATTTCTTTTACGAAAATGTTTTATTTATTTTACACATAAACATATGCACATATTTAAATTCAAAAAAATTATGTTTTATAAATTATATTTTACTGATAAAATCTATTAATTCTTTATAACTTTGTATTAAGGCTCCTGAGTACTCGCCGTGGTCATATCGGAATCGTGATGTCAGAGACAAAAATGACACACTGAGGAATTCGTATCTTTTTTAAATAAAAAGAAATTTTGATCAAACATTATTACAGATTACTTTAACACACTTGTAAAATTGTCCGAAAACTATGCTAAAAGCATATATGTTTCGTATCACACTCATTTTAGGGCTGTTTATTATTTGTCAAGGGAAAAGTATAGTTTTTGGACAATTTTGCAAATGTGCTAAAGCGATCTCTGTAATGTTGTTTCATCAAACTATTTTTTTATTTAAATAAACAATAACATAAATCATGGCCTCTACGAGCAGGTTTGAGAAAATGAATTTTAATATATTGTTAATAAATTGACATTAAAAGTTAGAGAAAAATTGTGGAAAGTTTCGACACTAAACTTGTGTCTCTTCAGCCACCGAAAATTACATTAATGATTTAATATTGTGCAACTCGATTCCAATCATATTTCCATAAAGCGCAAATGTGGCTGTTTATCTCCTTCTTTTTTTTTTGGATTAACATTGCTTTTATTTAAGAATGGCACGCAAGAATTCTCAGTGTGTCATTCTTGTTTCTAATGTCACGATTCCAATATGGCCGCGTCGAGTACCCACGAGCTTTAACAAGAATGGAACGATAAAACGACTTTACGTGCAAAATAATAGATACAATTTATCTAAAAGATAACTTGTATAATTTTTTAAAATATGCTAGGCCATTATTTTTTATTTTATATTGAAAAGAATTTTCTGTCAAATTTCTTCAATAATTTTTAAAAATAGCATGTTGCGCAATTGAAATTTATACACAACATTTATAATCAGTCTATTGCAATTGCTAGAAAAATTATGAATTTTAATTATAATGAACATTTATTCTATATGTTTAAACATATATGTATATGTATGTATTAATATCTTTTTCTTATTTTTAGTAATACAAACAATTTGTATAATGCAGAATACTTTTATGTGAGCGACGACTCCAATCTACTTTATCCATCGAACATTATCAGAGGGAGGGTCCAAGATAATGAATTTCTACTGACTTCATCAAATGATATTATGGTTATGGTAATTATTTATATTTAATTTTAAGTATTTAATAAAAATATAACTCAATTATGTCTTATAAATAACACGTTATTTCAATGAGTCTCGATACATTTTAAATAAATGAGTGAAAGCGATGAACTTCTTTTTATCTTTTGTCTGTAACCAAGATTTTCTTTATATATTTTTTTCTTTAGGGAATAGAAGTCATGATGAGTATTTTTGATAAAACATATCTTTATGTACATTTCTTTTTCACTTACCAATATGGTTTAGATATGTATTATTTTGAGGACATAGATATTGAAATTGTATACAGAGATATTACAAATACAATAGAGGTAAGTTATAACACATCGTATAATGTAATTTAATGTATTCATATATCAATATATAAAAAATTTTAGATGTTTTAAAGCGAAGGAGACTATACCACAAATAGACGAAAAAAGAATCGTTTTATTATTTAAATAGAAGCAAGTGCAAAATATATCAAGAGTCTATAATATTATGTATTTCTGATGTCAAACAATAAATCTTATATTTTATAATTAAAAAAAAAAAAAAACATTTTCTTTCTGAACATTACTTCCACAATCGTGAAATCTATGATTTATTATTTTATTACGGATATGACCTTAATAGAAACATTTTTATACCATCATCGTGGTAAAATTGAAGAAATTAAATTGTTATTAACATTACAAATTAATATGATTATTGTATAGTTAATGCATAGTAAATGTAAACTTTTTTCGGGCAACCGAGTTACAATTTGTAGAATTAATTATTATTTCGAAATAATTTTTTGATATTTGAGAAACGATATTGCTTTTTGTACAAGCAGAACAAACTTGAAACATTTTTTCATCCTTGGACTCGCTCTCTTTCTCTTTTCTTAATATTTTCCTTTTATCCAACATAATTGTATGATGATCCAAATCTATATTTTCTTCAATCTCAAATCTCCATTCAGAATATTTCATTTTGATTTCTCTATACCACTTTTACTAATCTTCCTCTTTCTTTATTAATCATACACACATGTATACATATATACATACATGTGCGTGTGTGCGCGTAAACGTGCGCGAATGCACGTGTATGTGTGTGTAAAGAGTAATGTTCATTGTAAAGTTACTTACAAGTTACAGTTTCTTAGAATAACTTATTTGTTATAAATTGAGGAAATGGAATATTGTGTGTATAAAAATGTATCTATATGAATGTTTGAGACAGAATCATATTAAAATGAATTGATTTATGCAAAAAAAAGTTACATACAATTGTACCAATATAAGTATTACAAGATGTGTACATTTTAATATTTTGGATACAATATGATACGCTTATATACAGGGTGTAACTAAACAAACGCATATGGACAACACTATCAGATACAGAATAACAATTCAAATCGAAAAGTTCTGAACCATCTTTTGATCTGAGCTTTCTTTTCGTTGTTATGTGATGTTAAAGTTAGCTAATCAGCGCCTGTCTACTATACAGCAGAAAGCCGTCTCGCTACTCCGACCCTCGTCGTACCTTCTCTGTTTTCCGTTGTAGACAGGCGCTGATTAGTTAACTTTAACATCATATAACAACGAAAAGAAAGTTCAGATCAAAAAATGGTCCAGGACTTTTCGATTTGAATTGTTGTTCTGTATTTGATAGAATTGTCCATATGCGTTTGTTTAGTTACACCCAGTATAAACGATCATCAATCAATTCTGTTCGTTATTTCTTCAAAAATATTTATCATAAACAAGAATAGAAAAAGTCAAATTTGCAATTGGTATGATTGTAAGATCATACCAATTGCAATCATTCATCGCGACCATATTTTACTTCTCTTGAAAAAGAAAAACAGCATGAAATAAGGTAATAATCGATTGGCTTTATACATGTATAACTGATGACATAATCTATTTCAATATTTACAGTGCAGAGGCTAGAAAAGCACTAGATAGCATTAGATATTTTCAAACTCCATTTATAATGTTTAATGGCTAATCATTAGACAGTTATTAGAGAAATTATGCAAGAATGACATAACTTTACTTTTCAAATTTTAACAAATTTTCAATTAATAGTGGCTAGACAATGGCTAGCTAATTTTTAAAAGGTTCTAGCGTCATCTATTCTAATATTTACTGTGCAGAGGCTAGAAAAGTACTAGATAGCAAAGAATTATTCATAAATTATAGCTAATAATACTAAGCTAGTCAATGGTTAGGTAATATCTAGCCTGCGTGATACAGCCATCAGTTGTAAAATAATATTGGCTAGATCAATTTCCACTCGGGTAGTTAATAAATAAATCGGCTTTGAATAAAAGTTTCAATCTTCTTTACTTTGGAATTAATCACGAATTCTTGATGCCAAGCAAGAAACGACCGATCCGAAGATTAATCGATCGTCGGTGATATTACGCGTGATTTTCCGTGCATGTGAGAATTTTAAAAAAATTTATTTTACAGGTAAAAATTGTCAGACGTACAGATTCTGCAATATTACTTCAAAAAATTCTATAAACATAAATTTATACGATGTCTAATAAGTATAGAATATTAGAAAGTTTCTTAGACAAAGATAAAAAAGAAATTTAAAAAATGAGAAAGACTAGACAACGAAGTAAAGACCAAAAGAGTTGTGTATATAAAATATTTGTTATAGCCTCAGGTAACAAAAGTTTTACTGATATTATGTTCATACCTAGATGAAAAGAATAGGTCAATGGAAAGGCATAACAAAGACATTTTCTAAAATCAGATTCTTCAAAGTATATTACTCGGATCAAACAAACATACGCATACAGTTAGGCTCGCCATAAAAGTCAGAAGAAATGATCAGAATAACCGATTTTGCGCTAAAAGCGTTTTTTAAGTTAACCGAACCTTATGCAATCTTTCGAGGCGAGAAATAAAAAGAAGAAAGACTTATTAATTAAGAAATTATAAATTATATTGTAATTCTCTTATTATAAAAATTAAAGCAAAATAAAAAAATACGTATAATGTTACTAAATTATACAGTATATATTATAATAACTTTATGATTAATAATAATTATATTCACAAGTAGAAGAGAAAAGCTATGCATTACATGAGAGTAAATGTATATGTCTATACAAATGTGTATAATTATACAGATCTGCCAAATTTTATAATTTTTATGCGGTCTAGAAAAAACGAATAGTTTCCTATAGTTTTTTGCGCACTGACTTCAAATTTGCAAGGCAAAATAATCTATCACGTCAGGTTTTCGAGAAAAATGGTGTTAAAGCACTCCAAAAACGCGTTATTTACCATTTTTGAAAATGTGTAGCTTACAAACCCGATGTGTAAGAGACTTCAGACAGGGCTCAAATGAAAGCTTGAAAATTGTACTATAATATAAAAATAGTTAAAAATGTTTTACCGCAAGTACTATCGAACTTCAGGCGCGCTTTGTTTTTGGGTGTAGCCGCACTGTGTGGAATGATTGCTGTATGCAGCCCGATTGCAAAACCGTCACAAACAGTAAAGAATTTAATCATGGATTTAATACACGAGATTAAACGTGCTTAATCATATTAAAAACGTTTCTTTGTTCATTTGTCAAAAAAATTATTGTTTGAACAATTTCCAAAAGATAACAATTTTTAACAAATATAATTTTTTACAAATATAATAAAATATGATTTTGTCATTTATTAAATTTACTATTAAAACTTTTA